ACTATGCCTACGTTAAAATAACTTTACAGATTTATAATTAAGGGACATTTGTTGTAGTTAAATTTAAAAGCCAACCTGGAGTAAGACGGATATTTTTGTCCTTAAGTAAGTGTATATGTTTTCTGAATTGCTCACCTTGGTTACAAAACATTTATTTATACAAGACAATTAATGTACTCTGACACGTACATCATACCAAAAGACCAAGACTATTCCTTGAAGCCTCTATAATCCAACAGTCCATACATCTTCAAAAGAGGAAAACGCAAGGTCACTAACACTACTTGCAGTTGCTTTTGACCGCACAGGAAAACCGCTTCCTCCACCCAGCTGAGCCTAGATTATGACAGAGCTAACTAAAATAACCTTAAGAGTCGCAAACAATTTTCAGATCTTTGAAGAAAATTATCAAGTTGTGCAAACAGTTAAGAAGAACAATTTTTGCTTGCAGTTACGGTCATAGTGGAACGATGCATGTCTCTGGGAGGTTACGCCTTAAGTCGACACACCTGACGATGGAGTGCAAGAGAAGCGCTGGGACTACAGGACACGTTTTGCCTGTGCTATGTTAATTCCAAATTTCTACCTTCGAGTTACTTCCGCTCTCCCCCTTACCTGATTTGAATTTGTTTAAAAAAGTATATAGTTTAAAAGAGAGACTGCTTAGGCAGACTGCTGAGGTGCATGGGATGACTAAAAAGGAGGCCACTGGGTTTACTTGGATTAAAATATCACAATAGTGTAAAAAAAAAATCCACTAAGTATAAAATATAAAGTCTGTCAATCTTGTTTGTGCTTCTGAGCTGCCTTTCAACTATAAGCTACCCCTGTATTTTACTAACTCATACCTGCGTTAACAGCATGCCTATTTGGATACAACTGAAAGAGTTTTACAATAAAATCTTAGTCCTAATGCTCAATTTTCCAAAGTAGAATTGCAGTACAAGATTTTCAAGCAATATGCATCAGGAAAAGCACATTAAAAAAACTACAAGGGCACCAACTATGCAAAGGGTGCATTTCTTTTTCAAAGCCTTTATCTGTTTGGAAATTGTTTATTCTAAACTGCCATTTTATTTAAATACCCTATTCAGCAATTATGAACGCAATTTTCTCCCATATTTCACTTCCACTACCATCCACCATGCTTGTGCCAAACTCTTCCCAACTATGGCACCATATCAGGTATCTTTGTACTTCTTCCTAAGTACTTCTTCCTAAATATTGGGAAAAAGCTATCCACAATGGCATTCAAATTCAATACAATCTCATGCTGCCTTACTCATGCATAAATCAAAACTTCTGCCAAATAAAACATTAAAACAGAATACTGGTGCCAGTAAAGAATTGAAATGCATAACTGATTAATATACTTTTAAATTAAATGCTTTTGAAACCACTGCACCCAATTAAATGTGTGCTAGAAATACTTCTTTATCAGTCTCAAGACCCCTGAGCCTATTAAGTATGTCTCTACAACGCTATACTTGTACCACTGCACTTGCAGCATCCTTAAAAATAACGGTTTCATCTTAAATAATAGCATGCCAGGAGAGGGGAGATAGTACAAGTGGAACTGCTTTGGGAAAGGCTAACCTGTTCAGGTGACATTGAGGTAAAATATCTTTGATGAAATGGACAGACAAGGCTTCTGACATGCGATGTGCAGAAAAAATTCCCTTTAAGGAAAAAATAAGAGGAGGTTTCTAATCTTTGTTACGGTTTTAAATTTTAATTTAAGAAATGAAGCTGAAATGCTTTTAAAAATAGTCCCAAACGATTCAAGTAAAGCTTTTAATGTGAAATCACAAAAGTGATAATCACTATGATACAGTATTTAAGCAAATCTTTATTTTACAATTAGACTAATGCCCTTTGATTTTAGACACTTACAGGTGAATTCACACTTTGCTTGTTACCTGAGGACATGTAAAGGTATGCCAATGATAATAGAGTGTGTACGTGAATATGCAAAATGCTAACGCAAGCCATCTGGCGAGCTAATGAACAATCAAGGGAGTCCAAATTAAACTAGAGAATTTTCCCTTCGAATCTTTAGGACAACACTGTCAAGTTCAATCTATTCACTTAGGCTCCAGAATCAATTTTTCAAACTTTATGACAGGTCTAATAGTTTCCACCTGTTTCTCTCACTTGACTTTTGACTGGCACATTACCAGCCGGGGTGGAAATGTAGACAAAGACCCCTATTAGGCTCCGGCTGTTTCTCTACTGTGAGGTCACTCAGCCATTAAATTAGTTCCAGCCCACTTTCTCCTTCTACGTCTTCATTTTTGGGGGGTAGGAAGGGTTGGTGCAGGGAGAAGGAAGAGACACAAAGGTTTGACACTGAGCTTGCGTGAAAGGCATAGGAAAATCTAAAATCACACCAAGTCAACTGCTCTATTTACAAACAATATACTAGCTATAAAATCACACGGATTGAGTCCTTCAGGTGTCTTTATCGGATTCACAGTCATCACAAACTTTGGTGAATCTAAGAGATTCTATCATGTAACATTTGCTTATTGCAATATATGATTGTATATATATGACATATCAATTTTTTTTTCTTGAAACTTCAGATCATCAGTAGGTGCTTCTTTTTGTGCAAGTAAGGAAATCTTTTTTTTTTTTTTGAGATTTGTTTGCCTATGTTTCATTTGGAACTGGAAATTAGAAGAAAGTGATATACTGCATATCCTGAGGAATTCGTAACAGTTCACCTGGAACCCTGGCTAAACTGTTACAAGTACATTGAAAATAGGACAATTTTTTTCTTCAGTAAAAGTGATCTAACATGTATATGCATCAATTTCTAGTGATATATGAATTGTTATCTTCCACAAAGCCTCCAGGCACTTTGCTGAGTTGCAAATCACATGCATATATGGACGTGCATATATATCACCACAACGATACATTTACATCAACCATAATAATAATTTTTACAACAAATATCTTGATTAATTAAAACAAAAGGCTTTCAGTAAGCTAAATTTAATTGCTCAAATTACAATCTGACTAGTACCACCTTCCCAGTAAAAAGCTACTTAAAGACAGGACTTTTGTTTCACATCTTATCTAAAACCTGACTACTCAAGTTGCATCACGATAGGGAAAATCTTGAAGACCCAGATCTGCAAACACATTATATTTGGACTACTTATGTAAGAAAGTAACTTGTGCGCTGAATGCTCTGCTGGAACATCACCTTAGAGAGAAAAAAAGTTCCACATTCATTGACAAATCAAGACCCATTCTTTTTGCTCCCTCATCTTTCTTGAGAATAAAATCAGATATAAATTGGCAGACCTGATTCTGTTCAGCTTGTGATATCTAAATGAAACCACAAAACCCCGAATAAACAACGTACTTCATCCTACTGAGATGTGTTGCTGCTGCTACTGAGAATACCACCAAAAACTAAAGGAAGAGAAAGGTCTCAACAGATTAAACCGAAAAACCACTTCAGTTTCTACACAATAAGTTTGATTTCAATTCAACAGGTTGAACGTGCTGTGAATACTAAAAATTAAGGAACAAATACTACAAATGGTACAAAGAACCCTTTTCTCTGTGGGCTCTGATTGATCTGGCATGTCTGTCTGTGTCCAAAGGTCCCTGTAAAGTCAGCTGCAGGACTAGGACATAACTCTGGGTGGAAGGGAGTGACAGAAATGGGATAGCAACGTTTTGTGTGTGTGCACGTTTGTATGTCTGCAAATATGCACACACGCATGCGCACATACACAGACACACAAACACAAAGTTAGTCTGTTTTAAAAAAACGGTATTTCATTCTGTCTCTAAATTGCAATATTCTAGCACAAATTATCATTGCTAATTCTATCTAGAAAAACTATGAATGCCTGATTTCAGATAACATTTAGGAAACTGAGGAGCGTTCAACTGTGAGATTACAAATTCATTTACTGTAACACTGTTCTAATGCAGAGTCATCACATATTTTGTGTCTATCACCTCCACTATTTGCAAGAAGATATATTCTGTAATTTATATCGGCCTTGCAATTTAGGCTCTCTAGCTGAAAAATAAAGCTCTTATAGCTAGTTAACTAATCAATTGTAACATCTAAAGGTGATTTAACTGAGGATCTTGTTCCAAAAAAAAAAAAAAAAGGGAAAAAAAATTTTTAAAGAGGTTATTTTAAACAGTAAAATTCTATGATTTTTGCAGATAAATTAACTGATAGTCAAAAAGTGGCTGTCAGGAAGTTACAGCAGCAAGTAGAAACGCATACAGAAAAACCTGTCCTGAAGAACAACTTCCCAAAGACAGTTCTTTCCATCACACTCTTT